CCCCTATCAGTAATTGTAGTATATTGAGAATGAAAATTTTAGCACCTTTTGCTAACTGTCACATACCTAAACTTTTAAAAAACCCTTGGCAGCATCTTTCTCGATTCTCCTATCATTCACAGAAAGATCTATTTAATACTTCTTTGCACAGGGTAATTTTTTGCATTAATGCAGGGCAAATTTTGACGGTGTTTTGAAATCCGATGTCGTAAAATAATACAAGCCAATAAAAGTGCTCGAATAAGCGAAGAATTGTTCGAAAGTGATTGTTAGGAACGTAGAAATGAAGAAATGAAACCATGAAATAAAGTGGTGGAGTTGTGGACACCGATCTGAACATGATGTCCTCCAATTCTAAAAAATGTTATAATATCCAAAGAAAACTTTCGCTCTTTGTTAATTATTTACTGCTTATTTCGAGATAGCAAATGATATTTCTAGTTTTGTATCAATCATTGTGCGACGGATTGACAGTAAAATGAATTTCCCCATTGGTGGAATAGCTTTTTGCAGTATGAAGAGCCACTCAAAGAATCAGAACCAACGATGGATAAATTGAAGAAGCGTTATAATAGGAACGCAAAAAGCCAATTTCAAGCGTTTCCGAACATCGGACAGTAGAAAATGAACTTATTCAATCGCTTATGAACTGCCTATAAGGCAATGATGGTAGCTGCTGGAGCATCCATAGAAAGTAGCTTCTGGGTACGAAACATACAAAATCACAAAAGAAAATCAACATTTTCAACAAGTACAGTATTCCATGATATTTACTTCTGTTGCCCTGTCCGCTGTTCTACCAGACCAGAAGTACGTCAAAGGCTGCCAAACCACAGTCTCTGCTTAAGTTTTTTTGGGTCAATCACACTATTGCTGAGATGTTTTCAAGGATTCTTTATACTTGCAAACTAAAAGCACTTTTGGAAGATTCTATTGTATAGCATTAGCAGGCTCTCTTGTATTGGTAGGTCAGTCTGCTGTTGAAGTTCTCCGTATAAATTGATCATTCTTCAGTGTTATGAATGCTTCTGTTGTAGCTATGGTTTTCATTCTGCCGGAGATTTCGAGTTATTTGGTGATTGATCCTGTTTCACTGTTGATGACCTTGTACACATTTTCACTGGCTAGAATGCAGTGCCTCGTAATGCTTTCTTGTAGGAGCTTGTCATACTGCTCGTTCTCGAGGTAGTAGAGATAATTGTATGTGGGGGGTATTTTCTGCATTTGATTCAGATCTTTTCCTCTGCTGCTTGGATACCCGTGCAAGTTTTGTCCTTCAAGAAAAAGAGCCCTTTCGACATCATACTCTTGAAGACACTTTCAATTTTTCCGACCTCCTTTTCTTACAACAGTTGGCTAACAGAGATGGAGTATTAGCCGAAGGCCAAAAGAGAAACCTAGCTTGCTTTTGTCAGCAGAGAAACAAAGTGTTCCACCTTTTGGGTGTGTCAAACGAAAAAGAAAAGCTGTTGGTTGTTCCGTCTACGGACAGAACGGATCATAAAGAAATGCCGATTTCGACTGAAACTTTTTTCGTAAGTTGCTTTAAGCGTCTAGAGACGTCTTTGTTATGCATGCCTATTATAGTTTATGTCCTAGTAACAGGTTCTATCTACTTTTGTATTTTCAATCATCAGTTTGATAACACTTCTTTGTATTCTTTTATTTTGGGTTTCGCACTGATAAGTAGTGAAATATGTGCTCTGTATTTTATAGTTGATTTCTTGAATTGCCATTTTATCTTCGCAAAAGTATGATTAGTGTGACAATTTAAAAGCCATATTCTAACAAGCATCTGAGAAAAGCCTCCATTATACTATCCAAGGCTTAAAACAGGCAATGATTTTTTGTGTGTAGCAACATGAATGATAATAAAATCATTATCCTTTTTTAGGGGTGTAGTGCTACGATAGCCATCTTGGGAATGCTGAA